TCTTAAACATTCTTCTGACGACAGTGGTGTAGAATGAAATAAAATAAAATAACTGTTCCAGGTGTCTTGTTTCTGTGCCAACTACAAGATTAATTGCATTGTATTCCTTACAGAAAACTTCATTTCCTACTACAGAACTCTACATGTTTTTACTCTACTGAATTTCCAATAAATGTGAGCCTCTGCCATCCCTACGCATGGAAGAGTAATTGCTTCCCTTTTAATATCGATTTGACACCCCACCACATCCTAGTGAGACATGACCTTTCAGATAGGTCTTTGCACAGCACCTTTCTGCCCAGCATATTTGTTTAATTAAGCACTTTTCCAAACAACTTCAACTCCAAGCATGTCTTAATATAGAAAGAGAGCCATAAAGGTATATAAATGGAAAAGCTGACTCCAATTCCTTTCCAGCTCACAAGTGGAAAAATATACCCCACAACAATGAGCATAAAGAGCCATTCTTCTCAGAATGTCTACGGTGCCTGAGAGCTACAGTGTGGCATTCTTTGACATTTATTGAGTGTCAGCAATGTGCTGGGGACTAAGTGGAGCAGCGAGACATCCTAAAACCCCTTTTTATGAAAAAAGGGGGTGAATGAACTGAAACACTTGGTAATGCTGATAAGCCATCCTGTGAATTGGAACTACAGAGCAGCATCAAAGAAAGAATGCCTTATTTTAAAAGAAAACAGAGCTAGACAACCCCAAGGGGTGCTCAGAAAATACCACGTGGCAGGCCCACAACCCCCTCCCCACCCCCCGGACAGACACAGATCCGTCCTGGCGACCAGAGCTGACATACCTTGGACCAAATGGGCCTTAGCGTGACCTTCAAGCGAAGGCCTGCTGGGGAGAGCAGAGACCCGCACAGTGGAGTCATTATCTAGACATGCCTCTACCCGAGGAAACCAGGCCTTCCGAACAAAACCAAGTGGAACAAAAACCTGGGGAGCGTTTCCATCTTCGGTTTAGACCCTGCCACAGAGAAGGTTAGGAACTTTTAACTTAGACTTTCAACGTGATTTGGTGACGCAATGGGTGTGAGAAGGAGGTACTGTGACGTCTCGGCCTCCCCAGGTATGTAGGAGGCTGGGGAAGGCATACTCTTACCTGGGGCTTTGGGGGCTAACCCGCCAGGGGTGAAACCCACTCCCTTCGAGCTCTGGGATCGCAGCAACCAGTAACAGTTCCTTCCATTTATAAAACTCTCAGCACTCGAACCCTGTTTAGAATGGCTCAGAAATCTGGTCACCAGACTCATAAAGATCGTATGAATTCACCAGGTCACTGAAGGCTTTTTAAAGAAGGATGTTAAATGTATCAATTCCCACACACCTGATGACGGGGGACCGCAGAGTAACTGCTTCAAACTTTATAGTGGAAAGTTGCAATAGCAACCGACTGAGCGCCTGGGAATAATGTAGGGACACGGTCGCCATGGTGACGTGGTCTCGCAGGAACTGCAGTGGGTGACTGGTCAGTCCCATCTCCGTGTCCCGCTTTGCGAATTGATGAGATGAGTTCCAAGAAAAATTGTAAGGCCAAACAGCAAACTGAAATACTACAGAAGTTCTTTTTTTTTTTTTTTTTTTTTTAATTTCTTTGTTGCTGGTCTTTTAGGAACAAGTCCAAGTAAAATATTAGGCGGGGTTCCTGTTCCAGAGCTAACATCAAAACTATGGCATCAGAGAGAGCCCTGGGTCACGGGACCGCAGCCCTTCGCTCCAGCTCTGGCTCTGTGAGGAGCTGCTTTGGTGACATGGGGGAGGCACTGAACTGTTCTAGGTGTCTACTCCTTCCCCTGCGAGGTGAGGAGGACAGACAAGGTTATCTCTAAGGCCCCGGAGACCCCTAAAAAGCCACACTTTATATTTACATTGGTGCCAACCCCGATATTCACACAGGGACTCTGAGCCCCCGGCCCTGCGCCTCCCACAGGTCGGCTGAGTAAATGACTACATTGAGGCAAAACACACGTGGAAGCAGGGAGGAAGAATACAAAGTAACAGAAACATTGACACAACTCTTCTAAATGAACCAAAGATAAACTCATTTACAGGCAGGGGAAGGGAACAGGACTTTTCTTGTAAGATCTTGTCTCAGAAGAAAGAAAACAGTAGGAACATAACCTCAGATCAATGCAAATGGTGAAACGAAGATGGTTAGTATAGTTGATAGAATTATGCCAAGTAGATGAGCCTCTGATAGATGCATGGTTTTCCCTTTCCATAGGATATTTAAACATGAACTTATGTGGGTACATCCAGTTCAAGCCCCATAACAAAAAGGAACGCTCATTTTGCTTTTAAAATGAGCTTCTTCTCATCTAAAATTAGATGAGACAGATGCAGCAACACTTCCCACCTTTTTGCTTTGACTAATACTATTCCCTCCCTCTCTGGGGTATTTCTTTCTACTTCCTTCCATCGATGCACATGAAGACCCAAGGAGAGGCACCTTCTATAGGTAATCCGTGCTTTGTGGCTACACCCTACGTTCTCTGTTACTGAAGCCCTTAAGAACTGGAGTGGAAAACACTATCATACAATCTGATTGTATGTTACCTTGTAAACTAGAGCCCATTTGTTTCATATATAAGATTCTCTCAACTGGACCATCTTATCCACAGTTTTTAATCTCTTCATTGATTTCCTAAATTTTCTCTGTTAAGGTCAGTACAAAAATAAAGAATGAGTGAGACTCAACTGGTGATTACAATTGTTATGCAAAACAAGATCACATCTTGTATTTTAGAGCAATAACACTGGCAGGCGGGGTTGCTGGTGCAGAAATGTCTAGTGGATACGTTGGAATGAGTAACGAAGAAAAGCTGTTAACCGAGGGATTCATTCGAGAACAGGAATTCGATAGCTGTTTTTCTCTGACTGGTTTGGAAAGCATTTATGTTTGTAAACACAAACCAGATTGTCATTCGGGTTCATTCTTATCACAGTCCTCATTTCTAGGGGGAAGTCGGGAACACCGTCTTGTGTTTCAACAACCGAATCATAAAGAAAGTTCACTGCATTTCAACCAAAATGGCAGGATGGACAGATTCAAGAAGAAAATCATTCCATCTTGTCTGTAGAGGCAGAAAAAGCACTTGATAAATTTCACCACCCATCCATGATTAAAACAGAAACAATTTAGCACATCGAAACACAAGGAATCTCCTTTACCTGACATCAGGTTCCCATCAGAAAGCACCTGACTAAAGAAGTATAAAATAATTCTCCTTAAAATAAAAACAAGACAATGATGCCCAGTTGTACCTGACACTGTACTAGAGGCTCTACCTGGCACAACATTGATTAAAAAGCAATCACGGTTTCAGAGGGAATGACGATGGGGAACGGGCTTCCGGATGGGACATCCTTGTATTCACTGAGGTCTCAGAAGCAGCTGAACGGTTCACTACCTGTTGAGGACTCTAGTATCCCAGAATACCTAGATTTTTTAGAAGTTTACAGAGTTTTCTTATTTGGGTGTCTTTTTAAAATCCACATCTGTATTTCATCTAAAAAGATGCTGATTTTTACTTTGTATCAAGCCCTTTGAGAACCTGAACTCTCCAGGGCTCAACTGTAGTCTGATCTCCTGTGTGGTAGTCATGCCCCCCATTCTGCATCCAGGCACGAGGGCGGAGCACCCTTCTGAGGGTTCCTGTAGGAATGCCCATTTCCCATTGCTGAGGGAGGCATTCAAGGTACCCAGCCTGGTCCCCGGAGGAGGACATGCTACTGCTCTCTCCAGGAAGCCTCTGATTCTTTTTCATTACTAATGTGTGTGTGGTTTTTTTCCTCAAATAATACTAAATCTTTTTTTTTTTTTTTAAGAAAAAAAATCCCATCTCCGTATTTGATAAGGGACTTGTATTTCCTTCGCTCTCCCTTGATTTTGAAATGCCTTGCTCTTGTGGTTTTTCTCAGTATTTCTGTATGAGTCACTCTGAGCAACTGGGAATGTAGGAAGAAGGCTTCTCTTGCTATTTTGATTCACTGTGTGATTGACCCTGGGCGAGTCACTAAACCTAAACAAGGAACTTCATTCATTGCTAAATAAAGATAAAAGGCCTGGGAAGATGGGTTAAAATTAGACCCCGCCACCTACCACTCCGTCTCCTAATAACTGATTCATGGACATTAGTTGGCTTTTCCCTTTGGCATTTCCATTTGGAAAACACCCCTCTGCTCTCCTTGCCCAGCTGCAACGCCGTCTGACCGCCCTGCTCCTGTCCTCGGTTGCCTGTCATCTGTTTGCTTAGCTGCACTGCCTGGTCTCAGGGAGCACCACGGCCCCCCGTGAGGGTCAGCCCCGGTTCCGTTTTGCTATTGTAGGTGAGAGACAGTAAAAAAAGAAAGAAAAGCTCAGGTTCCGGCTCTCCCGGGTACTAATTCTGTAGCCTTCGGGAAGCCAGCCAACCTCTCTGCGCTACATTTTCTAAATTACAAAGGGGCTCCCACACCGCTCGGTCTTTCAACCTCGGGGGCAACTGTTACAGAAACCAGACAATGAACCTGGATGGTGTTCGGAAAAAGCGTAAAGTACGGTATGTTCGTATTCATATTGACCAGATAATTCCCTTCGCCAAGGCAAGAATTTAGTGACAATATGCACCAGGAGATCCGAAGCGGTGTCCATTCGTGCCAGATGGTGTCATGACCATCACAGCCGAGTAACAGGTATGCACACAACCCATTCAGGGCGAGGAAGACTTTCAAGTACGTACAATGTAGCCTAAAAACGGAAGCGCCCCGTGGGTGCCGGCTGGCAAAGCAGGGAATGAACCGATTAATATTGGAGAGCCTTCTTATTCTAACTTTTAAACTTTTGAATCCATAACCTATGGTAGAAGTAAAAAATGCAAAATAAATGAAGGGACAGCTGAAGAGTCCACAGATTTCAAGGTGGGGCCAAAGAACTGTCACAAAGACGACGCCTGGGCCCCGCGGCAGTGGGCGGGCAGTCTGGACACGGCTGCTCCGCTGGCTTACCTTTGCTCCGTGTTGAAGATGGCGAAGGTGTGCTTGCTGGACATGAAGCTCTTCTCCACGTCGCGAACCTTCAGGTTGTCCAAAGGAAGCATGTACTTCTTCTCTTTCTCCTGTTGAGAGGGAGAGAGGGAATTTTGATCAAAGATTTGGAGGCATTACAACGGCGACATTGTAATGTCCTGGCCTGGCCGACGTGTGATTACAATATTTTGATACCGTCCACCCCCTATTTTGATACCAGGTACCATAGACAAGAAGGGGCCAGAGAGGGGGGTCCCCAGGGACTCTCAACACATGGTCGGGGAAGGCAGGGGGGAAGTCCAGAGGAAGGAAGGGCTCAGCCATGGAGGAAACACATGGGCCCCTCTCCTTTCTTCCCCATGTGGGTCCCCTTAGATGTTTTCAAATGTTAGTTTGATATTAAGAATTTAGCCATCTGTTAATATTTAACAAAAATGTTCTGGTCCTAATTCAATGAGAAGTGCCAGATGGATTTCATTTCGTATTTATTTGCAGCCTAAGCAGTTTTGATAGCCAGTGCTGGCGGGGCCTGAAGCACAGACGCCGGACGCGGTGCCCCAGGAACACGCAGAAGGGAGGCCTCCGCATTCAGGCCCGGGGCCACTGCGGGTCCCGACGGAAAGCGATGCCATTCGGCCACTGAGCTCTTTGAGAAACAACAACAACAACAACCAACAACGACATTAGGAGTGGGCTGCTAGGAACTAGGACACATTCTTCTTCAAAACTAGCACTGCTTTCGGAAGAAAATGGACCTTGGAGAGGGGAGGTCTGCAAAGGGGCGCAAAGTGATCTTAGTACATGAAGCAGACTGGATGGCACGGAACTGCTAGGAATAGAAACGTCCGCTTCCACGGACTGGCCGGGTAATGCGATCCTGTGTGCAAATGCCCGGCAGCCGGTGTAACGGGACAGCCCAGCGCAGGCTCGGAACCTAGTCGGATGCATTCCCGGGGCATCTGAGCCCTGCCCCCACTTGACAGCATCCCCTGTATGGTCCCAGGCTGTCTCTCTGGCACTGGTCCTGAGAAAAAGCAGGGCCAGCCTCGAGAGTTGGGGAGCGTGGGGACTTAGCCACAGCTTTTAATAAACAACTATTAATGTATTTCCTGTGGGGAGTCCGTGCGCTGTGGAGACGTGCCTGACAGAAGCCTTGGTGTTCCCGCGGCCCCTACAGCACGTCCTGCAAGGCCTGTGGTTGGCTGGGCAGCGGGGAGCGGAACTCCACCGTGCTCGCGGGCCGGCGTGTGCGGACCACGTGTCTGCACACCCACAGGGTCGTCAGGGAGTGTCTCTGCGCCTGCCCCCTCTCACCCCACACCGATCAGGAATCTCTGGGGCAGAGCACCTTCAAATCGCCAGGCAGAGGGAACCGGGTGGGTGAAGAAGCTGAAGGAAGTTGGTTGGAGAACAGGGTGGCTGTCCTGGCAGGCAAGGTCGTCAAAGATTTAAAAAAATAAAATAAATGAAAACACAAAAGAGACTAAATGGGAGTGAAGGAAGCCAAGTACTTGAAGAAGATTCCAGTATTTCCTGTGCAAAAATTAATACTATATTAGCAAACATGAGGCTACTCTAAGCAAAATCCATCACGTAAGCAAGGGATGTATCACAGTAGACTCTGACTTGTTTGAAACACAAATGAGATTCCGGCAACACTGTAGATCGAATGAAAAACTGTTCGATACGTAATTCAATGAAAATGCTTCAGACCCAGGGAAACTTTTATAGACATTTTTCAAAGCCCTAAATTTAAGCAGCTGGAGGTTTTTAATGCACCATCCTAGTCAACCTTTTGAAATGATGGATTCGCCTTTTAATGGAAATCTGTGTTTCATTGTGAAGATGGAACACAGTGTCCTTGGCGTGTTTCCTACGGAAGGAGGCTCCCTTTGAACTTCATGCTTTAGCATATAGTAAAGACCAAAAAGCCAGCGAGTTGATGTCAGATATTCAACACTGGAGAACCATCCACATGGGCGGACAGGGGGCATGAGAAAATGTAGTTTCATTTCCAAAGTATTAGATGTCATTTATCCGAGTGTTTTGAAGATGTATTGCTGAAATAGTTCCTAATCAAGAGTTTTAAGATTGACAAAGGAAGGGGAAAAAAAGAGACTCCAACTGATGTGTTTAATTCAAGTTGTTAGTCACATGGAGACTTAAATGAGACAGCAATGGAACAGTCTGTCATGAATATTTCTAACATTCTTGATGCTTCTGGGAAAGAATGATCTTTGGCTGAAAGAATATTTTGGATATGAAAAACTTAAAACAAACCCAAGGAATAGCAGTGGTGCAGGACACACAGAATTATCATTTCCAGTACAGTGAGTCTTAGCACCCGCTCAATGGAGATGCTGCATAAATCTGTTTGTTTTATGAAAGCGTCTAACCGTGCACTGTCCGGTGTGGCCACCCCAGCCACGGGTGACGACTGAGCACCTGAAATGTAGTTACACTGGGATGTGTCTAAATGGTCACTGCGCACCAGGCTTCAGAGACCTCGTAAGAGCAAAATGATGGAAGTGCTCTCATTAATACTTTTATCTTGATTATATGCTGACGTGGTATTTTGTTTTTGTTTTTGTTTTTTTGTTTTGTTCAGATAGAGTGGGAGGGAGAGAGAGGAAGAGAGAGAGAGAAAGAAACATCGATGTGAAAGGGACACATCGAGTGGCTGCCACCCGCACGACCAACCAGGGCCGGGGACAAACTGCAACCGAGGTACATGCCCTTAGCGGGAACCGAACCCGGGTCTCTCTGTACCGCAGGCAGATGCTCTAACCGTTGAGCCAAACCGGCCAGGGCTGACATGGTATTTTTAACATACTGGGGTAAAGTATTACTAAACATAACTCACCTGTTCAGTCTTACTGTTTTGAATGGGGCTGTGAGGTCGTTTTACACGACGTGTATGGCTCACACTCTTTCTATTGACAGCGCGGAGCCCTGTGCATTTCCCGTTACTGGCCTTCCCCTCCTTCCTGAGCACCCTCCTCGCTGACCTCCCGTTCCTGCCATCGGCTGTGGCTCATTCGCCCTGCCACCCAGTCCGAAACCTCACTGTCCTTCCTAACGAACGACTGTCTTCCCTCGCCTGTTGTTACATCAGGAGGACGGCGCTGCGTCTGAGCGTCCGTCGGGCCCACGTCTGACCTCCAACCGCGTTCATCTGGGTCCCCGGCATCTGGTACACGGATGATGGGAAATGGTCTACCTGCCTTTGAATTCCAGGGAGAGCCGTTTCTAAAACGACTCTAGCAAAGTCACCACAGTTCTTCAAAACTTTCCTAACTCTCCATTACTTATGGAAGAAAATCCACAAAACTCCTCCATTTGACATTGGAAAACACCTCTAGATTGGCCTGATCCTGACTTCTCAATATGCCCTCCAGTCGTCTGTGAGCCGTCTCTGTTCCAACCGAACGCACCTTTGCCAACAGCCTGCGCCCAGCTTGAATACCCTTTGAACTTCTATCACAGTCTATTACTCAGGGTCTGCCTCAAGCCCTACCTCCCGTGCGGAGTTGGCCCCGGTTTGGAACTGCCTGTCTGTCTCTCTGTCCCTCGCCTTTCAGCCCATACAGTAGGTATTGCTCATTCTAGTCAGTACGAATTGTACTTCACACGACACCTTTACCTTATGAACACATCACATTACAATGTTTGTATAAGGGTCTTCATTTGGAGCTCAGAATGTTCAGTTCTACTCTTCGTGTAGGATGCATCAGCGAGAAAACATTTTAAACAAGAGAAGTTTTTGCAATATTTGTAAATAAATGAGAAATCAATCAAATCTGGTATTTTAAACATTTCATCTTGAGTACTCATTTTGGAGGAAGCACTTGTAAAATGCTAGAGAAACGTTTTTTAAATTATTTTTTCCGTTTTATTGAGAAATAATTGATATACATCCTCGTGTAAGTTCAAAGTGCTCAGCATAGTGGTTTGATTTACGTCTATCGGGAAATGGTTAGCACAGTAGATTCAGCTGACATCCATCTTCACATCCAGACACGATAAAAAGAAACGAAAGAAGAAAAGCATATAGGGGGGCAAATCCCCTCTCGTGATGAGAGCCTGCAGGAGTTACTCCCTGAACAGCTGTCCTGTGCCCCGCCGGCAGCCCGCTACACTCGCCACGATGCACAGCCGGTCCTCGGCCTCTCCTGTCTCCTGACGGGAAGTGTGCACCTTCGGCCAGGCCCCTCCAACTCCCCTCCGGTAACCGCCAAGCGAACTCTCTCTCTACTGAGTTCGTTTTGTTTTGCTTTAAGATAACCACACGTAATTGGGATCAGACGGTATGCGTCTCTCTGTCTGGCTTGTTTCACTTAGCAGAATACCTGCCAGGTCCATCGTGTTACTGCAAATGGACTTTACGGCTGCCTGATCACCCACCGTCTGCATGACCACTTCGCTATCTCTTCATCCGCTTTCACACACTGGCTACTGGAGACACGGCTGCTCCGCACGTGGGGATGCAGGTGTCTTCTCCAGGTGTGCGCCTCACCTCTGGATACACGGTAGTTCTCCCTTCTCCATGAGCAGGAGACCCCGTGGCTGCCCGAGAGCCCGGACAACGCCGAACCCTGTATCACTGTTTTTTCTATACCACGCTGTGATGGAGTTTACTTTGTACATTAGGCACAGACAGATGAGCAGCTGTACCAGTAAACTAAAACAGTGCCATGAAAACAACACGCTGTACAAGAACCTAGTGAAGACGGTCTCTCCCTTTCTCAAAAATACCTCTTGTTCTGTGCCCAGCTGCTGCAGCCTGAGAGGCTGCAAGAGGGTACACCGCCGCCACGGGGTGAAGTGGGGCGAGTGGCGGGGCTCGTGACCCGGCGCCAGGCACCGTCGCGGGGGGCTCGCAGGGAGCACGGTGATAACCGCGACAGCCCGTCTGCTCGCGGACGTGACTGTGTGGGGCTGAGGGGCGGGCCGCGTGCACAGCGTGGAGAGCTGGACAAGGGATGTGCACGTCCAGGGGGTTGGAGAGAGACAGCGCGGGATCTCATCACACTGCAGAACAGCGCGATTCAAACCTGGGGACAGCTGTTCCCGGGATTCTCCACTTACA